GATTTATGAGAGGCGGTTGAACAGATCATGGAGGCAGAACCAGAGGAAGCCGTATAAGAGAATCCGAATTTGCTTTTGGTTCACGAGGACGCCGATGGTTTTATGCCTGAAATATAAGTCGAGGTGGATAAAGTATTTGACATTATGAATGACATAGTATTCAATGACGAATGGGAATGTAGACCTGATCCACCTATTAGGAGGTAATGCATACGACGATGAACCTAGATCTGATGTCACATCTTTCAACTCCGACGGCGATTGAGGTAGGTCGCGGAGTCTTTTGATAAGCCGTCCCAATTTTTACATCTGAGACCGACTATTTTGCCTAGTACATACACATACCGTGTTCCGTTTTGCGTAGTAAGAATAGCTATATAGCATATATTTGGGAATAGTCACTTTTGCAATGTATAGCTATAGTCACTCGCCCCGATATAGGGTCATTTGTTCGATATGACATAGATAGTAGGAACTGATGCATAGTAAATCCGTTGACTTTTGTAAATCCAGCTTATGTTTCAATATGTATATATAATAATTATTATTTAATAAGTTTTTCTTCTTGGTTATGCTATGTATTCATACTTCGATAGTTGATTAATGATAAGTTAACATACTTGCATTATTGACATTAACATTGCTAGCCCTAATAAAGAATTCATAGGTATACCCTGACTCAAAATGTCTTCTCTCGGAAAACTTCCTGAAAACCACACTCAAGCTTGTTCACTTGCATCATCCCCAAATCACCACCCAAGTTCATCAAATATTATTGAAGACGATGAAACAATGATGGAGCCAAATAATACTACAACTCAGGAAGCAACATAAACACCACAAGTTCCTCGAGAAGCAGCAACTCCAGAAGTACAATCGATGTTATCTCTGTGGCAACAATTTATGCAATTATGTCAGCAACCCCCACAGACGGGAGTACCACTTGCGGAACATGCCATACCAATGGATGACCAAAGGTTTGAGAGGTTTCTAAGATCTCGACCACCGAAATTCCTAGGCGAACCCCATGATCGCAAGGCGAAAATTGGCTTAATGAGATGGAAAAGATTTTTGAGGTCACACACTACTCTGACTCTTAAAAGGTTAGTTATGCAACTTTCCAACTCGAAGAAACTGCACGTCATTGGTGGCGTGTAGTGAATCAGAAGTGGGCTCAAAATAACAATGCTCGAACTTGGGCTAATTTCGTCCATGAATTTAATGAGAAGTTTATACAACAAATAGTGAAAAATGCTAGAGAAAGAGACTTTATGAAATTTACTCAAGGTACAATGGCGGTGTCCCAGTATAAAGCTCGTTTCAACTATGTTATTCGCTATGCTCTACATTATATGAACGACGAAACTCGCAAAGTAGCAAGTTTGTGAAAGGACTAAATTAGAACTTTGATGGGCTATAATTTCATAGGATGCAACAAATTATAGCGCTACGATTAATAAGGCGATGCAGGTCGAGTCGGAAATGCGACAGTTGATTCAATTCGAAGAACGAGTGAAAATAACTAAATTTACAAGCTTCAAAGGAAACCCAAGTCGATTCCCTTTCAGGTCCAAAGCCGAGAACAGGTCAAGGCTTTTTTGCCAATCGTAACCGAGTGCCAAATCGGGGCAGCGCTCCCCCTCATCCAACGATGTAAATGAGTGTGGATTTTGCGGACTCTCCAATCATGAGGAGAATGATTGTCGAAGGAAGAATGGATTGTGCATTCTTTGCGGAAGTGCTGATCATATTGCACGTGACTGTCAAATGAGGCAGGGACCCCTACCTATTTCACAAGGGCGAAAAGGAAAGGCTCCAATAGGGAAACATAGCCAACCTAAAACCCCTATGTGCGCTTACGCACTTGCTGAGATGGACGAGACTGTCGAGCCAACAGCTGTTGTAGAAGGTAATGTATGTCTGCTTGGTAAATGTGGTAAGATTTATTTGATACCGGAGCAACTCATTCATTTATCGCATCTTCTTTTGCAAATGCTTTAATTTTAGAAGACGAACAATTACCTTATAATTTTGAGGTAAGCACTCCGATGGGCTCAAGCATACTTACTGACATAGTATGTAGAGTTTGTTCTATCGAATTAGAAGGTAAAGAATACCTCGCAGATCTTATAGAACTTCCAATCAGAGGTTATGATCTCATTTTAGGGCTGGGTTGGTTGTATAAGCATCATGCCCAATTCGACTGCTTTGGAAAGAAAATCAAACTTCGGACGAATAAAGCATCAGAGGTTGAAGCATTCAAAGGAGATAAATTAGCTATATCTCTAATATCATTTACGAGAGGTAGAAGAATTATGAAAGGGGGAGGATAAAGATTTTTGGCATACTTAATCAACAAACCACATGAAAGAAGTAGACTGGAAGAAATACATGTGGTTCAAGACTTTCCTGAAGTATTTCCAAAAGAATTAGATTCATTACCTCCAAAGAAAGAGATCGAATTTGTGATTAAGACGCTTCCAAGAGCAACACCGGTGTCTATGACACCGACATGATGGCTCCAATTGAGCTTAAAGAATTAAAGAAACAATTGCAAGAATTGTTGGATAGGGGTTTCATTTTGCCAAGTGCATCACCATGGCGAGCCCCTGTACTATTTGTGAAGACAAAGGACGGAACACTCCGAATGTGCATCGATTATCGTGACCTAATTAAATAGTGTCACGATTAAGAACAAATACCTTTTTACCCCATATTGACGATTTATCTGATATCTTACAAAGTTCATGGTTGTATTTCAAATTAGATTTAAGGCAAGGGTATTATCAATTAAAAATTCGAAAAAAAGATATTCCAAAGACGACATTCAACTCAAGATATTGACATTTTGAGTTTGTTGTCATGCCATTTGTGGATATGATGCATAGGGTATTCCGACCTTGGTTGGATCAATTCGTTGTGACTTTCTAGATGATATACTGGTGTACTCAAAATCTGAGATAAAGCATGACCAACATTTGAGGGTTGTGCTAGAGACTTTCAAAGAAAACAAACTATACGCAAAACTTTAGTAAATGCGAATTTTGGCTAAGCCAAGTCTCATTTTGACGGCATTTAGTGTCTAAAAATGGGATTAAGGTTGATGCCTCAAAAATCAAAGCAGTAGTAAACTGAAAAAGACCAAAAAATGCTACCGAAGTTCGAAGCTTCTTGGGTTATGCGGGCTATTATAGAACGTTTGTCAAGAATTTCTCTAAAATAGCAACGCCTTTAACCAAATTAACACAAAATGGGGACAAATTTGAGTGGAATGAGAAGTGTGAAGTCAGCTTTCAAGGATTGAAGAAAATGCCGACTACAACACTTGTTTAGCATTACCTGAAGGCGCATCAGGGTATAAAGTTTATACTGATGCTTCGAAGCAAGGATTAGGTGGGATATTAATGCAAAATGGAAAGGTTATCGCTTATGTTAAAACTCCATGAGCAAACTTATCCCACTCATGATTTGGAATTAGGAGCCATTGTATGGGCATTAGCCAAATGGACACACTACCTTTATGGTACGAGATTTGAGCTTTTTACCGATCACAGAGTTTAAAATATTTATTTACTCAAAAGGATCTCATCAATATGAGACAGAGAAGGTGGATGGAGTTTCTCGAAGATTATGACTGTGCTATCACATATCACAAGGGGAAGGGGAAAGCTAATGTTGTAGCTGATGCCCTTAACATTCTTACAACTCCATGCGAAAAAATGATGATAGCACGAGATTATGGGTGGTAAACGAGTCGAGCCGACTCGTGGGCTCGATGAGCCGGCTCGGAAAAAGCTCGAACTCGAGCTCGAGCTGTCCGACAAGCCGAACTCGAGTCAATGTTTAGTTGTTCGTGAACTCACGAACCGACTCGCGAGCCTTTTTTTTAATTAATTTGTCTATATATTATTTTTTATTTAAATAATGTATAATAATATAAACTATTATAGAAATAAATATACATAAAATATAAATATTAAAAAATATATTTAATTACAATTTATTTTTTATTTTGTAATTTTTTTAAAATAATTTTTAATAATTAAAAAAATAATTATAAAAAAGAAAAGAAAAAACAACAACAAAATGAGCTTGAACTCGAGCTCAACAAAATGGACACGAGCTCGAGCTCGAGCCTGCCAAAAGTGGCGAGCTCAACTCAAGCTCGGCTCGTTCACACCCCTACACGAGATTGTGTTTGCATGCAATCCCTCGCACGGATTGCGGGAATGTTTTTTATTTTTCACTTCGGCATTTTTTTTCTTTTGATCCATACTTGGGGAGATCAGATTTTTTCATTAGTAGTTGTGAATGACTTATTATTTTTCAATCTTTTCGACCTTGATACCCTAGAAGCAAGTAAGAGCAGATTTGCTATATTGAACTATATGATTTAATTCATTCTTGATAGCGATAAAATAATCATTTTAGCAGATCTGATACTTTCATCGACGGATGCTCCAATTTCACTCGTAGTGTCTGAGAATTTTGTTACAGTTTTTAACAGAATGTTCGTTTGAACTGAATAACCATAGTTTCTTAGACAAGAATATATACAATTTAAATTTCTTATCGAACCAAATAGGCATACTGGAAGTTAAACATATTATTCATCTTGGTGAGGTTATTGGTACGTGGCTACTCGTTACCTTTGAACTTATTTTTTGAGAAGCGAAAACTAATTGCAATTCATATTCAAAAAAAAAAAAAAAAAAAAAAAATAGAAAAAAACAAGAAATCGGAAAGAAAATAACTTGTTTTAAAAGCAAAAGTTTTGGAAAAAATGCAAGTGATTCTGAGTCAAATGAGATGACAAGGGATTTCACAACAAACTTACTCCCAAAAACTCCATTCTAAAGGACTATGAACTCGTGATCACAACACGAAAAAAAAGGAGGGTCAAGAAAAAACGATTATCGATTTCCAGTCATCAACTCTTCCAACAAATCCTTAACTAAAAGCACTAGAGCCATTAACCGACAAGCAAGGCAGAAGATCAATAATCACACAATTCACAAAGGTAACATTAGAAGTTTAAATATATATATACACATATACATACAGGCTGCCACAAACAGTATTCTTCGATCGATCAACACTATATCAACACAAAGGGGTAACATAAACTCTACAAATTCGAGGAAAACAGCGAGCGTTACACCTATACACATCACATATTCACACAAAGCAATAATTGAATTCTAGAGTCGAATGGTGCACATTACCGCTGTTTTGAAATCGAGAGGCTGATGAAAAGGCGGCTTTGCAATAACCGACCTCCAAACCCTCTTCCTAAGATCGTATATCTGTATTAACAGTGTTGACAACCTTTTACGCTGACGCCATCCTCTGCCATCTGTCTCACTCAAGAGGGTCAGCAAATGCAGCTCTCCGTCCGATGCAACAAACCCTACCGACGCGTCGTCTGATGCCTTTCTTGGCACACACGTCTCCTTTGCCCACCGATTTGAACTCATATCATACCTGCATACATACATATATATATACACACACACATGTGTTTAAGAAACTGTAGAAAAAAAAACCAAGATAAACACCAAATGCTAAGCTTCGGATTGGTGATTTTCAATGCCGTTAACATCTAACGAAAACAAACATTAAGATAGCTACACACATATATAGCTACCACTGCAAAGGTGTAGGTAAAAGAAAGTTCTACCACACTCGACACGCTCCCCAATCAAGAAAATGATAGTGTGTGTGCTCAAAAGTAGAATACTATTAGGTCTCGTTTGGTTGGAAAGATTAGCCATGATTAACTAAATAATAGGACTTTGTTTGACGTTTGGTATCCCCTATAACTCGCCGGGCCGACCCGCAAATATTATGTTATCATGGCTTATCTTGCCTTCTAGACATGTTTTTTTATTGGATCATCGAAGTTCCAATAATTTAATCGGGTTTCATTAGATTATTTAATTTTATCTTGGCAACCAAACGAGGCCTTAGGAAATAAAGATACATTACATAATCATTAGGAAAAATATTATAAGAAACACTAGATAAACATTAGAGATGGATTATCGGGCCATGAACATTAAGATAGCTACACCTATATATAACTCGAACTCCATATCGTTTGACAAGTAACAAATATAACACACTAATAATCAAACCACCGAAAATTTGTAGGCAAGAAAGAAAGTTGTACCACACTAGACATGCTACAATCAAGAAAACGATAGTAATGCTCAAAGAAGCATACTATTCGGAACTACTAAAGCTGGATCACATAATATAATTATTACCAAATTGCGAAATTTTACCAGAATATTTCACCCCCGTCGAGCATGAAAATACGAGGAGAATCGGGGCCCACATCCTCAACCACAACGATTTTGCCAAGCCGCCTTCTTTCCCCTTCCTCCCACATATCTCCAAGCTCTCTCCACTTGGCACCATTCTTGAACTCCATAGCCACCGCATCCTTATAATACTCGTCCACCGGGAAAACACCCGAAACGGTTCTAGACTCACCGTACCCTCCCATCACCCAAAACTCACTCCCGAGAAAGAAGCCAACGCAGCCAGCTCGAAACCTAGGCAAGCCGTCCAACGGCAGCCACTCGTCCCTACCTATATCGTACATCTCCGCCGAGCTCATCCTACTCCCCGCCGCCCCGAACATGGTGTGGCGGGACCCACCCCCGGCCACCACGATCTTATTACCGGGCGTGGCGGCGCACGCGAAGCTGCCACGCGGCGTGATCATAGGTGACAGTGAATCCCACGATGAGGTGGCGAAATCGAAACGGTAAGCGGAAGGGGAGGGGGTGGGGCGGTCGAGCGGGAACGACCGGGTGTCGAAGAGGGACCCACCGATGACGTAGAGGTGGGGGCCCACAGAAACGGAGATGAAATTGGATAGGCCGTAGGCGTGGGGGTTGCAGGGCATGGGTGGGAGCGGGCACCACGATAGATTTTTGGGGTCAAATAGATATGGAGTGAAAACTGAGGGGTCTTGGGGGAAAATACATAGAAGTTTTGGGGCGATGACGTAATTCTGCCGGAGAGAAATTAGGGCTTTCGATGAGAAGAAACGTTTCCATGATTTGCAGGTCGATTTGAGGCGGGAGTGATGAGAGTAAGGAACGAATGCGAGGATCAGAGCTCCTAAATCGTTCGGGAGGCCTGGGATTAGGGTTAGGGTTAGGGTTTGGATTCCGAATTCCTCCTCCTCCGACGGCGGCGGCGCCATCTCTCAAAATCAGTTAATCGGACAAAATCGAATGATCGGACAACTGTGATTATGATCCTGATTTAAAGGAAACGATGAATTTTAACACCGACTGTGTAGAGAAGAAGCGATACGTACGAACTATATACATATATGTACAGCTGCTTATGCAGGGTGTGTTTACAGAGAGGGAAATGAGGTCGGTGGTGCTGCGCTGCTTCAGACAATCAATTTCAATGGCGGTTTTCGTGATTGTCAATCTGTGGAAAATCTATGTTTTGGGGGGACTGAGAAAAAGGAGCGCCCGTTTGGTCGTTGCCATAGTGTACAGATGATTGACACGTGTCAGAATCTCTTTCTGTTACGGATTTAGAATTAGGAATTCGCTATAAATAGGTTTACTGTTCAAAGATTATTATAAATAGTTTTGACTTACAACTTTATTCAAATTTTAATCAACATCTTAATTAAACTGCGAACTATTGTTTTGTTCGGTCCGATTTGACCGGTTGAACCATAATATCAGAATCCAAGTGAAAATTAAGTTTTTTTGTCCAAAATTATGTTTTCCTTAAAAAAAATATACAAATAAAATGACAAAAACAACGTCTTTTTACTGCCTAGTCGGAAAAATAAAAAAATAAATCAAAATGTAATTTTTTTGAAATTGGAAGATATATCATTTTTTATCATAGTTTCTATAATATTTGAAATGATTTAGTGTGATATGTGTGTGTTAAAGAAAAATAAGTTTGATTTATGATTTAATTGAAATGAGTAATGATTTAATGTGCGTGAAAGAAAAATATGCTTTATTAACTATAAAAATTATGTATAAATAATTATAAAATGAAAAATAAAATACCGGTTGGATCCTGATTGAACCGGTCCCACCCAATAGCTTGTCCGAGTCGATACCGATCCGGTTTTCAAAACATTATGATTATACATTTTGAGTTGTTATCTTACATATTTTAAAAAACTTTTGCATTACTATGACCATGTGATATGAATATTTTAGAGGTTTTTTTAGAAGGATTATTTTAATGTTAATATGAGCATGCATGATGATGTCACAATTTCATGACTAGTTCAATGCAAAGAAATAGTAATATTCTAAGAATGGATGTAATATAATAGGTAAACTTACACTCTTGTATAATAGTTTGTAAAATATACCTAAAGATGTAAACAACACTAGGCTAACCATGTATGACAAGCTCGACCTAACGACCATTGACAAGAATATTTAAACTTGGGTCAATTGACACATGCACCAACCGCTAGGGCATCACTTTCGGGAACAACTTGTTTGCACACATGATACATGTATATATATAAGCCAAATCATAAATGTAAATGAGATCGTGTTTGAAGGATTAATTAAGGGTCACAATTTCTTGATCCTTGATCTGTTGGTCCCGATTAATGACCCACTTTGCCGTTGTTAAGTTCTACTGATTAAATAATATAAATTACTAATATGATCGATGACAAAATTCAAACTAACTAAATCCACTATAAAAACCGAAACAACAATTAAACATTACTATCTAATATAACTCGTAGTTGTCATACTTCTTGCGATTAATTTTGTAAGTAGTGATTAAGTAGGAAAAATACAATTTTATCCACAAAAATCTATAAACCAAGTTATAATTATTGTTAAATTATAGATGTTATAGGGAAATTACATTTAACACCAAAATTTAACAATAAGTTTAATATAAGAAGGTAATTCAATTCCATATAATTTAAATTAATTCTATATAGGCTATGTCGCACGGGTAGGGAAACGGTGATACATAGAATTGGGAAAACAGATATGGGGAAACGACATGTATCCAAAATGGGAATACAAGAACTTGAGGGAAACGTGTAATATAAATATGTTATATAAACGAATACAAGTTTTAATTATAGTTACTCTTGTTATATATTTTATGTATACAAAAATATTAAAAAAAATTACTATCAACTATTAATTTTCAATTGATCGTTAAATCATGTAAATAATTAGGGAAGTAACAAAAATATTTAAAACTTTGCATTTTAAACATGTTCTAAAAACTTTTTAGAAATTGCTACGTAGTATACATGCAAGCCTTAAATAAATAAAATTAAAACCAACCAGGGGTATGAAAGGAAATTTTGATTTACAAGTGAAATGAAATTATATTGCGTCGTACTTGTTTCTTTTCATTTTCAACCCCGCCAAAAAAAGCATTTCAACCACGCCAAAAATAGCATTTCAACCACACAAAGCATTCAACGGCTCCGAAAAAGTAGGATTCACAGAGAACAATGCCGCTCTTCCACACAACCCCATTTCCCAGTCCTCGCACCGAGCCTGAATCCGCAGCAGCACAACAACCCCCTTTCACGAATCAAAACCCAAAAACTCAAATCTCTCACGCCCTAGCCGTACGATTCACCGGAATTTTTCCTGCCTCCGTCGTCTCTGGCATTACGGCGGAATTCAAATTTCTAGGGTTAGAACATTTTGACGAGAAGGAAGGTGCCTCGTTGTGTGGATTAATGGAAATTGCGTTCGAGATTGGGGATCAACAATCGGGTCTGGTGAATCCAAAATAAGAGGCTTTTTTTTTCTTCCTCCTTGATCAGATGGAGTCGAGGCCTTCTATTTGTTGAACCGAGATGGTATTTGTACATGAACTATATTTTTGCCAACTTTAATTTTGATAATTTTTTTACCTTGTTAATTTTTGTAAGGAGTTTATGAGATTTTTAGGGACTTTTGCTGCAATTTTGAGTATTTAGATTTGCTAATTCTTGAATTCTGTTTAGGGATTGTAGAATATTGTAATGTGTTTGATTTTGTAGGGGTTAATACTTAAATTCTATTGGTTAGGTTCAGGTTGTGGCTTCTAAAAAAATATTATTTTAGCATGTGAATTTGGATATATGTAGATAAAAAAAAAATAAATAAATAAATTAGTCTTTAAACAGTAATCCTGGAAGTGAAATGAACTTATAATTTGATGTTACTTGGCTATTTTTGGTGTGGACTTACAATCACTATTCAGTAAAGTTTCTCAAAGTTGAACTATGATTTTGTTTTCTGTAGAAGAATTGCACTTAGATTCAATATATTATAAACATTGCTTTTCTTCAAGTTATATTTCTGAAAAAATCTAATGATTTTGAATACAGGGCAACCCAGTCAATATCATTGCAGGTTCTCATGTTTGGGTTGAAGACCCAGACATTGCTTGGATTGATGGGCAAGTGATTAATGTTAAAGGAGACGAAGTTGAGGTTCAAATATCCGATGAGAAGACGGTAAAGTACTATTTGTAGATTGAAGGGCTTGATAAAATAAATGAATTCACCTTCGTTTTTCTATATAATAAAGTGCCTACTGCTGAGTGCTATGTTACTTTATGCTCTGAGCTTGGAAATAGAAACAATCTATATTTCGACGGGCTAAGATATTGAAAACTTTCATCTGACATACTTCTTGACCATTTGTTTTGTGGTAACTGCATGTTGCTTGAAGAGTGATATCTTTTTTTTCGTCTTTATTCATATGTCAATTTTTTCATTTACTGGCTATCACATTTGTATATTCCCTGAGATATCGTTGTTTGCTCTTATCATTGTAATAGTTGAAATGCATATTTGGTAACTGTTGTACTGTGTAATGGACTTTTATCTGAAACTAGGTTCATAATATCTCGCTATCTCCAGGTTTTCATTTGTATTGAAATGGATAAGAGAAAAAATTAATTTTATGCTTTTTCTTAGTTTAGAGAAATACATAAACCTTTCTTCTTATTAACAATTATTTTCTTGGAATAGTAATATATCAAGGTTATAGAAAACCTATGGTAGTATGAATTCATTTTTCAGGGAAGCTTGTTAATTGTTAAAAGTTTAGTTGGTTTGTGACACTTCATATTATTCACTTTGTCTTTGAATTATCAAGGTTGTTGCTAATATATCCAAAGTATACCCTAAAGACGAGGATACACCTGATGGCGGAGTTGATGACATGACCAAACTATCCTATCTGCATGAACCCGGAGTTCTGCATAACTTGGCAAGAAGATACCAGCTCAATAAGATCTATGTAAGATAATATTTATATTTTAGTTTCTGTTTGTTCTAGCAAGAGGAAACAACAAATCATGATGCTTGCAGTTTGTTTAGTCTATAGACATCTATCTTCATCATAATATTATTATATCCTGCTCTGATATTAATTATTATTGCAGACTTACAGTGGGGGAATTCTTATTGCAATCAATCCATTTCAAAGACTTCCAGACTTGTATGATGCCCATATGATGGAACAATACAAAGGAGCACCACTTGGAAAATTGAATCCTCATGTTTTTGCCATTGCAGACGTTGCTTTCAGGTGATAATGTGCTAGACTTGGGTTCTCCTCAGGATTTTTTCATAAAGGATACTTCCAGTAATGTCTTAGTCTTTTTCTTTTTAATTAGGGCGATGAGGTATGAGGGTAAAAGTAACTCAATATTGGTAAGCGGAGAAAGTGGTGCTGGTAAGACTGAAACTACTAAGATGCTTATGCAATATCTTGCCTATTTGGGTGGTCGTAACGGAGCTGAAGGGAGAACAGTTGAACAACAAGTTCTTGAGGTAAAATTTGTCGTATAATTTTTTGTTTTAGGGCGTCAGTTTTATCTTATCACCATGAAAAGTATTTTTTGGCAATGTTCTGAAAAGTTTCTCTTGTAGTGTGTGCTCAAGTTTTGTGTTTGTGAGTAGCTAAGTTTGACTAGTTGAATTCGCAGGTTGATTTGGAATTTATTTTTCCGAGAATTCATCTTTCCAAAAATAAGGTGTAGGCTTCTTTGAAAAGTAGTTTATGCTATGAAAATATGGTTGACTGTTAAGATGTAGGCTTTGGAAATATGGATGCTTGTCAAATATCTTCAGAAAACAATTTCAGAAAATGAGTGAAATAAAAAGGGTTTGGACTTTGTTTTGTTAAACGATGGTAGTTATTGTTTTATACATAGAAAGTCCAATAAGGTAGAATATTTTGTTGATTGTATTTATACTTATGAAGCTTTAAAAACAAACATGTAAACTTCAGAAATACCTTCCTTAAAATTTGTAAATAGAAATTGCAGAAACTCTGTACTATTGTAAATTAAGAGAAGACTTCATTACATGCAAAACAATTTTGAGCACAAGTGGAGTTTAAGATTGATGCTTCTAAGTTTCTACTTGTAGTTTCATTCATTGAAGTTGTGTTAACCACTTAAAAAGGAAATCTAGATGTATTACTTATACACTTATCATTATATTTGCTGTTACGCTGATAATCTTACTGAGTGGTTGTCTACAGTCAAATCCAGTTCTTGAAGCATTTGGGAATGCAAAAACTGTCAGAAATAACAATTCAAGGTCAGACCTTGCTTAAACCCTGATGTAAAACTTTTGCAACGATAAAAACTATTAGCAGTAAATTTTAAATTGTTAACTAATTTATCATATGCAGCCGATTTGGTAAATTTGTTGAACTTCAGTTTGACAAGCATGGAAGAATATCAGGAGCAGCTATTAGAACATATCTTCTGGAAAGATCTCGTGTCTGCCAAATATCAGATCCCGAACGCAATTATCACTGTTTTTACCTTCTATGTGCAGCGCCACAAGAGGTAGTCTACTTCCCCACTATCTTCCTTTATATAGTTTACCTCTCATAAGAAATCATATTCCCGAATATTTTGACATCTTATCAGGAAATTGAGAAGTATAAACTGGGACATCCAAATACATTTCACTATCTTAATCAATCTAATTGCTACGAGCTAGTTGGTGTAAGTGATGCTCACGATTATTTGGCAACAAGGAAGGCGATGGATGTTGTTGGAATCAGTCAAAATGAGCAGGTACAGAAACATTAGATTAGTATTAGTACCATCTACTCTGTTTCTGTAGGTAACTAAAATATCTCCTACTTATCTTTAGGATGCAATCTTCAGAGTAGTTGCAGCTATTCTCCACCTAGGTAATGTTACATTTACTAAAGGGGAGGATATTGATTCCTCAGTTCTCGAGAATGATGTATCAAAGTTCCATCTTCAGACTGCAGCCGAGCTTCTCATGTATGATTGGAGTACTTATACTTGTTATACTCTTGTCTCTCACGAGTGTATTAGTTTTTGAGTCTATCTTTTCGTTTTCTTTTTTCAATAAAAGGTGTGATCCTAATGCACTGGAAGATGCATTATTGAGGCGTGTGATGGTCACTCCAGAAGAAGTTATCAAAAGAAGTCTTGATCCTGATGGTGCACTAGTAAGCAGGGATGGGTTAGCTAAGACGATATATTCACGCTTGTTTGACTGGTATAATGCTAGTGTGTATCGGTGGCGTTTTTTACTTGCATTTTTTAAAATCTGGTAACTGTTTGCTCTATGTTTTAGTCATTTTGACGCAAGGTTTGCAAAATCTGCAGGTTGGTAGACAAAATAAATTTCACCATAGGGCAAGATCCAAACTCAAAAAGTCTAATTGGAGTTCTTGATATATACGGTTTTGAAAGTTTTAAAACTAACAGGTAAATATTGGATGATAATATTTGGAAGTTGATTATATACCAACTCTTTTTAGGTGCTCAGCCTAACTATATATTATACTTGTAGTTTTGAACAGTTCTGCATTAATTTTACTAATGAAAAGCTGCAGCAACATTTTAATCAGGTACTCACTTTGACATGTTCGGTAGTAGATTGTAAATTCTATGGTCAACAAAATACTGAAATGTTGTATGTTCTTTGTTCAGCATGTTTTCAAGACGGAGCAGGAAGAATATATAAAAGAGGAGATTGACTGGAGCTACATAGAATTTGTTGATAACCAAGATGTCCTGGATCTTATTGAAAAGGTTCTCTATATGATTATACACTGCTATTCACTGGGCTAAATTTAGTTGTTAATAAGCCTCTCAAAGCCTATAAAATCTGTAGATTGTATATCATATCTATTTGATTATATATTTTAGTGGAAACATTGCAGACAAAACTAGTTGTCGGTTGTACACATGTCCAAGTGTTATTTAACTTAAGCTCAGATGCTCAATCTGATATTTTCTTAAGAGCACAATATATTCTTTGTTGATAATTCTTGATATGCATAAACTTTATCAAGCTTCCAAACATCTTTCTATATTTTTTTATAAATTCCAACTTCTACTTTAGTGTGTGTTAAAGTAATTTCTTTACACAATTGCTTTTGACTGGGCTTTGCAGAAACCTGGAGGAATCATTGCTCTTCTTGATGAGGCCTGGTAGGGTAATGCTTGTCTGCCTGTAGGTAGCTTGCAAAGGATAGTTGTTTATATTTTTATCGTTTTTAATTTGCAACTAATTTGTTTTTTTCTGTTCCCAGTATGTTCCCCAAGTCAACACATGAGACATTTTCAGAAAAGCTTTATCAAACATTTAAAAACCACAAGCGTTTCATTAAACCAAAATTGGCACGTACCGACTTTACAATATCTCATTATGCTGGAGAGGTAATATCTGAATCTTATTTGTTATTTATTAAATGTGCAGTTTTGTGATTAGTGAGACGAACATTTTCATTATATTTTTCCTTCCTTCTAGGTTCAATACCAATCCGATCAGTTTTTGGATAAAAACAAAGATTACGTTGTTGCCGAACATCAAGACCTATTAACTGCTTCCCAATGCCCATTTGTAGCAGCACTCTTTCCTCCACTCCCAGAAGAGACAACAAAATCTTCAAATAAATCTTCCAAGTTCTCATCGATAGGTTCTCGCTTCAAGGTATTTTTCTTTTTTTGTCCCTTTTGTTCTGACACATTTGATTTCGAGAAATGTTTTAGTAAGGTATCTAATGATTGAGCTTCTGAAATAGTGGCATTGAGTCTCTCGATCATTTAACTTGGATAAGTTAATTCTATTTATCTAAGGTTCTTTTTTTTCAGTGGACAGTTCTTATATATTTTAACAAACTAACTTTAATATATACATTTAAAATTTTTGAATACTAACCAATAAAATTATTGGTCCTTCTGTAAAGAAGGTTGAAGCTGATTTTTTCATTAATTTGGTGCAGCAACAACTACAACAATTGATGGAGACGCTGAATTCTACAGAACCCCACTACATTAGATGCGTGAAACCTAATAATCATTTCCAGCCTACTATTTTTGAAAATGCCAGTATCATGCAGCAACTTCGTTGTGGTGTGAGTATATTTGTAACTATTAGATTCTTTCAGAATCATTAATTGTGAAAATTACTCTAAATGTAATTATCTTTTTTGTCCATTGTCAGGGTGTATTAGAGGCAATTAGAATTAGCTGTTCCGGCTACCCTACTCATAAGACATTTTCTGAATTTCTTCATCGGTTTGGACTTCTTGCTCCAGAAATCTTGGAAGAAAAGTAAGTGTTTGTGTTTGATATTCTTATGATTCTTTCTTAATAATCCGATGAACTAACGCTTTTCTCTGCATTATAACAATGAGAAGTAATGACGAAATGGTTGCATGCAAAAAGATTGTGGACAAGCTCGGCCTTGCTGGGGCTCAGGTAATGTGAATGTCATCTCATCCTCAATACTCATTGTTCTTAAATGTGAGAACCAAAATATACCAAAAACAAAATTGTGTTTTTTCTTTTATTTTTTCCTGGGTTTCTATTTCCTCTTCCATTCACATATGAAAACAAATTGTCTAGTTTTGTAGATATCAGCAATTTAGCAATTTATGATGTATACTAAACTTAATGTTTCAGTCATAGCATATCTTGATGTTTATGTCTTATTAAGTAGTGTGTATCAGTATTCTGCTCATTGGCTTGAGCCGTAAAACTAGAATAGTTGATTTGCATTTCCTTGCTTATGAATGTATTAGAAATATCTACTTGATGTTTGTGTCGTTTATTATTTGATGCCGAGTCTATTTATGGATATACCTTTTCATTTCTTATCCTTTTGTGTTTTATTCTGTAGCTTCTGTTTGATCGCAGATAGGAAAAACGAAGCTCTTCCTGAGATCTGGTCAGATGGCAGATTTAGATTCCCAAAGAGCAGTAAAACTTAGTGGTGCAGCAAAGACGATACAAGCAAAATTTAGAAGTCATAATGATCTGAAGCACTTTGTTGCAGTGTATAGGGCATCAGTTTGTATTCAATCTATAGCCAGAGGTTCATTGATTATCTTTTACTTCTCCAAACATTTTAGTCCACCTCGTTCATGCTAGTAAATATAACAAAGTTGATGTTTGGCTTCTAGGAGTGCTTGCTTCCAGATTTTACAATTATTTGAAAAGGGAGTCGGCGTCTCTTAAAATCCAGACAAATGTGAGAGGGCACATAAGCAGAAAAAGCTACAGTAGACTCAAATACTCGGTTATTGTACTGCAATCAGGCATGAGAGCAATGGCTGCTCACAATAAGTATAAATATAGGAAACGAAGCAAGTCAGCAACTGTTATACAGGTGATTTTAAAAATTTTTTCCGCGGAATTTCGAGCCAATTGATGATATGCGTTAAACAAAGAAACAATTATTTTCAGGCCCACTGGCGTGGTCATATGGCCTTTTCACACTACAAGAAAATTAGAAATGCAACAATTGTGATCCAGTGTGGATGGAGGGGAATGATTGCTAGGAGAGAGCTTCGGAAACTGAAAATGGTAGGCCTCTCTGTTCTTACACTGTTGGAAAAATATTTATTATGAATCGACGAATTATCAGCCTAACATTTTCATTTTAGTGCCAAATTGTACTTTAATGCTGTCCTCATTCGAATAGTGCCTAATTAATTGCCCAGAATGCAAGTGGATTTATGTTTTGCCATTAAGGTTGGCTAAACAGTGTTGCAATATATTTTTATCCATTGACTGCTTATGGTTATTAGGATAAAGGGGATTATATAAGTTCTATTGTCTTAGTTCAAAGTGGATGAGAGAAAGTCATTATTTGTAGTGTTCATCTTTTGATAAATCATTGTATAGGAACATATTTAATGGACATGTTTATTAACTTTAGGCTGCACGAGAAACGGGTGCACTTCAAGAAGCTAAGGATAAGCTTGAAAAGCGAGTGGAAGACCTGACGTTACGGCTAAAGCAAGAAAGGCGTCTGAGGGTAAATAATTTTCTGATGCTTTTTCTTTCCCTACAAATAAACTCTCTCTCTCTCTCTCTCTCTCTCTCTCTCTCTCTCTCTCTCATATATATATATATATATATATATATATATATATATATATATATATATATATATATATATAAATATAATATGCACACTCACATATGTATATGCGTATATCTTGTTGTGTGAATTTAATAATAAGTAAATATGTTTGTAGAGGTGCTTATATACATGTCCATAACTTATATATGTGTCCAATTATATGTATATATATTATCATTATGTGTGCAAACATGCAAATAAATACCAGCATTTGCTAGCAACTGCACATTTGTTCATTATGTTTGCTTCAACGATGTATGCATTATGAATCATGTTCCCCTAAACTGTGTGAACATTATTAACTCAGCAAAAGATGCAACGGTAGTTTTTTTGAGGGAAATGCAATGGTAGTTAATCATGCATTTTAGTGCTCCTGGATTTTACCAAGATTGAGAATTCTTGTGTCAGGCTGACATGGAAGAGGCGAAGTGCCAAGAAATAACGAAGTTGAAGCAGTTCGTGAAAACGTTGCAGAACATGGTTGGTGAAACAAATGGTCCACTTCATGAAGAATGTGAGGGGTATTGGACAGCATCGGAAGAAGAATCCTCAATCACTAAAGAAACCCCGGCTCCATTTGAAGATACAAAGAAGATTGAGGCTCTAACTTCACAAGTGGAAAAATTGAAGGTAACAATAGTTGGATGACATGTATCATAACACTCCCGCTCTCGTTGTTTGCTAGAGCTACTAAATTCAGCATTTTGTGCAATTCTAATTCATAGGACTTGTTAGAATTTGAAAGAAAACGATCTGATGATTTCCAAAGGAAGTACGTTGAATCTCTGGAATCAGAAGAGGCAAAGCGTCAGAAGTTAGAAGAAACTGAGAGAAGAGTTCATCAACTTCAGGAATCCTTGAACAGGTACCATAATTATTATAAAGTAACGTACATGTTGCTTGATTTTTCTTAGCTATTTCCCTTTGAAAGTTGATATTTATTTAGACGTAGAAACGGACTACATGATTAAGTTGCAAGCTCCCGCTTCTAATGTTAATGGGCTGACATATGTTTGTGTCACATATAATATTACTGCAATTTCACTTTAGGATTGCCTGAACTGATCTTTATTGGTTGCATAAGTTTTCTCTTAATTTTTTGTGGAAAAATCACATAGCTATTGGTAACAATAATATTGTACTCCATTACGGCATTATCTTTATGCAAACTGTATATTTGGACTGGAAAGTTGAATGTCCAGCACAATTTTTTTGATTATGTGGCATTTATAAGGATATTTGTGATTCTCTAAATTGATAAATCTGTCTTGAAGAAATGTGGTATGAGGCAGGCTTATCCCTGGAAACCATGTTTCATTTACACATATTGTCACACACACACACACACGTGTGTGTGGAACTATGTATGTTTATATATATGTATCCGTACTTCAGCCAAAGTGATGCATGTATGCCTACAAGAAGGAGCTTTTCAACATGACTACAAACTATTTAACAATTGAACTGCAGATATACTTGTACATACAAACATTTATTTTCATATAAGATCTGCCCTCTTCCCTTGCAAATGCCACTAAAAAAACAAATGTGTGACATGTAGGTGAGTAGTTTGCAAGTGGTGGTCTGAACAGTAAAATCTTTGTAGGAGCTATACCAAAGAGATAAATGATGGTAAACTTGTTACTTTTCAAAATAAAACATGAGAAAACAATAAATTTCTTTCTTGAAATTTAACAACACTTATAAATTCGCGTCGATACATTTATATTGTTAAATGAGTTCCACCTATTCAGATTAAAAGTTCACATGTGTCATTTCACTAATACTAGATATGATCTAGTGTGCTTCAGGATGATATACAGCATGTCTGGGCAATTTTCGGAGCTCAAAATGATTTTATGTGCCTCATCCAACTCAACTTCAGCTTCGGGATTCGTTGCTAAACATGACATGGACGATGATTCTTCCGCCTCGTCTGATACCACTTCAACTGACTCAGATTTCACTTTCCCAGCTCCCGCTTCCACTCCACCAAACTTTACTTCCTGCAATTCTGGCGCTTTTCAGCTCATTGTTCGAGATCTTTCAACACCTGAAACTTCAGGTTAGTATCAACGATTTTTTTTATATTTTTTTGGGGGGGTAAGTAAAATTGCAGTATGAAACTCCATAAATATGTTTCCTTTTGTTTTTAGAGTATTATTATATGTTTATTTTTCTCTCGATGGTTGTATTTTGCAGGAACGGAGAAGTGGGAAAATGACAAGGAGGGGGCGTTTGATGACTTTTTCTGATGGAAGTTGCTCTATCAGTTTGTTGTTGTCTAAATCTCTACTATATAGTTAGAAGTTAGGTTGTCTAGATTTTAACAATTCAGTGTCACGGTAAGTGGTTAGCTCAGTTTTAACATAGAATATCACCCATTTTTTTGTACAGGAACATGTATATAGAAACTGTTGAGACAACATTACAAATTTCTTCTTATATATAACACATAAACATGGTAGTGCTGCTTATATTAAATATCATATATCATTGAGTTTTCAAGTCCAACTTACCAATGTATTAATCATTAGTAGAGCATGATTATAAGTTATAACATTAGTTTGGAGATGCCAGCACCGTTTTCTTAATAATTCAGAAATTTTTGGCAATTCTTTTTTACCGTGCGTCAATAATATTCATTGCAGAACTTCTATGACTTCAACCTAGTTTAGCTTTCTTCAGTTTAATGGTAAGAGTTTTCCCAGCCAAGAGTTATTGTTTCCGATTTCTTGTTTTTATACAGGAAACTCATAGTTCACACATTCATGCTTCACATGTTGTATTTTACGCATCAATGCTTATATAGCTATGTGGAATAAGTTTGTTTATCTTGGGTTCAACACAGTTTGGATTCGATTTGTAGTCTGTAAATTAGTGCCCTATCGATTCCTTTTGGTATGTTTTGTTGTTCACTGCTGTAGCTTGAGGTCTGTAATAATAGTATACCCTCGCTCTCAAATTTCTCTCCTTGGAAGGAACAACATGCATCCAACTCGCTCATCACACGAACCTCCGGTAAGTTTTCTGATTTCGAAATTTGGCATTTTATTTTATGTATAATAGGGGCATGTATGTATCTCTCATTTGTTGTTATATGCCCTTTTTTTCCAAGTTGCTGCTTATTTTCCGTTCCTTTTATAGGTCATCAGATCATGCTGGAAGTGTAATAAATCGAACGTAATTTTCTGAGTTTTGGTATGATAGGTATGATTTAGTCTTTCTCCAATATTTGTTGGCCATGGAACATTCTTAAAGATGTAGCGAATCTTCTTGAAAACTCCATACGAGTAACGAGCTTTTCAGATATGCATCTTATCAGAGAAAAGGAAACAGCAAAAACTTATGACATATGGTGATGCAAGATTCTTGTTAGACTTTGCACCAGATTACGAATATCCAGGTAACTTTATTTTATTTTATACGAAATAAATTCATGTGGGGGTGGTGCATGTCATAGATTGATTATCTATCTATGATTTTTCTGCATGTAATTTGAAGGTATAGGCAACAAAAATAGGGCAGAGCTAATGAATGCTGAAGATTCTAACACCCCACTGCAAAGGAATTTTGTAAAGAGCACGCTAAAAACGCAGATCAAATGACTATTTTCTGCATATGGTTTATCATTCGGATCTAATTTCAAGGACAATTTGTGTAGTTAGTTTCTGTGTTTCACCTAATCGCAGGAGAGGCAAGTATAATTTACCCTATATATTATTAATATAGGATAAATGCTGAATCCCACTTTGCACCCTTGAAATGTAGAGTTTTTGCGCAACTCTTATGAAACATAGGAGAGATTTGATCCCATTGGCTTAAATTCGAATGGAACGAGGCATCTCTCTGTTTTTGTTGCATCAATTATTCTTTGAGGGTGTTTGCCTAAGCTTATAAGCTGTCAAAAGGAGCTTATAAGTTTTTTCAAAGTGTTTTGATAATATTTTTTTTTTATATCTTAAAAAGTCAAAAAATAAGTTGTTGGAGAACAAATAATTTTTTTTTTTAAAAGTAACTCTACCTCACTTTTTATGTCAGATCTTGTAATGAGTAAAAATAGTCCATAAGCTCATTATCAAAACACTTTAAATTTTAATTCTAAAAATAAGACGTAACAACCTATCAGCTATATAAAATAAGTATATTTAAACGAGCCCTTAGTCTGGCTTTTGCAAAATCAGTTTCTCCTAACAGTTTTAGAGTGTACTAGATTGAGCCTATTAGGGCTTTACAATTCATCCTCTCTTCTTTTCTCCGATATGCCGTCGGCACTAATAGCCAATGAAGCAATTTCCGCCATAAAAAGATTTAAGGGTCCATTTGGATGGAGGGATTTGGATGAGCGATTTCATATCCACAATAACAAATCCTTTGGACTTGTTTGGATTGAGAGATTTGATGATGAATGTCAAATCAACATCCCTCCGTTTTAGTTGTTTTTTGAGTAATTGGTATAAATTTCAAATGACTCTAAATTTGGAGTCAATTCAAATCCCTTCTCCAAATCAAATTCTTCTCAAAATTCCTCTATCCAAATGGACCCTAATAGCATTTTGTACTCTCCCACTTTCAATAAATTAATCACAATGTACTCCATATTAAGTTCTAAATTTTTGCACCTTTTAGCCATTTCACCAAATTATTCAAAAATTGTATATCTTCTTATATAGGGTAAATTACAACTACCACTGAGATATGGTCAAATTATGAAAAAATCCCTTTTGTTTGGATAATTACATCTACTCATCTACTATGAATCTTCTTACATCTTCACCCTTATGGTGTCAAATTCAACATAATCATCTAGATTTCGTGGAATGTTCTCTAGTTTGAACTCGTTTTGTGCAAAAATACAGTTTTTGATGAACCACAATCTGGTATATAATAGCCAAAAAACACATTTTATGATCATCTAACTTCAAAATGTGGAGCTCGAATGGGATAAAACGGGTCCAAAATTGAGAATATTCCATCTAATCAAGAAGATTCTACTAAATTTGAAACAACAAGGGTGGACGTGTAAAAAAAATTATAGTTGAGGGGTGGTTGTAATTACCCAAACATGAGGGGGTTTCCATAATTTCACCATACCTCATAGTAGTTTTAATTTACCCTTTTATATATAAAAATCCACCAAATATATAGGAAAATAAAGGCTCTTTTCTTATGCATTATTATTGATATTTTATTGTAAAATATGAGAGGCTCGCGAGAAAGAAGAATAAATACCATGTAAGACGTAAGAGTAACTCAATAAGACGAACAATAATGATAAAAGACAGCAAGTTGGTTAGGAGTTAGGGCTGCTAACTTCTCGAATATATTAGGAATCAAAAGTTAGAGCTATTCCAACCCATTGTTATCAAATGGAGTTATCAAATACTGATTTGATAACCATAATTATATTTTGATATCTATATACAATTTGTGAACTCCAACCACAAGTATCAAAAAACAATTATCAAACAAATTTATGATTATTTATATATTATTTATTTTATAATCTATTTTAAATAACCATACAAACCGATTTTTCTGGTAAACTATCTTCAAAATCAATATTAATCAAGATTTTACCTTTTCAAAACAGAAAAAAAAAAAATTATATATACATAGAGATGTTTTTTTCCGTGGAATTTTGTTGAAGCTCTCGAGAGAAAAAAAAATTATGTAAACATATTTTTGAGATTTTTTTTCCTGTGGAAATTTGTTGAAGACATAGAGAATTTAATTTTATTCTGTTGAGATTTTTACGTGGAGAAAAGAACACTCAATTTTGTTGACGTTTTTCTTTTTTCACGTGCTCCTATTTTTTAGGAGAATATTTGATAATTATTTATTTGGGATGTATTTTTACTTCTAGATAAATGAGTTATCAAAATAGAACTCTATTTTAATAACCTTATTGGAGGAGAGAGTTTTTAAATTTGGGTAGTCAAATGGAGGTTAAGGGGTTTGATAACCTATTTAATAACCCGTTGGAGTTGCTCTTACCGTTTATTTACATTGTTTTTTGACAACACTCGAGTGCAACTCGAAAACTATATAGAGAAGTCGGAAAATAATGTTAAGTACGGGTGGCCTTTATTTCGAAGCAACTCCAACCCATTGTTATCAAATGGGGTTATCAATTACTCATTTGATAACCAGTATTATACTTTGATATCTCTATACAACTAGTGAACTCCAATCACAAGTATCAAAAAAATAATTATCAAACAAATTTATGATTATTTATACATTATTTATTTTTTAATCCATTTTAAATAACCATACAAACCGATTTTTCTAGTAAACTATCTTCAAAATCAATATTAATCAAGTTTTTACGTTTTCAATAGAAAAAAAAATTATATACAAATAGAGATTATTTTTTTTCGTGGAACTTTGTTGAAGCTCTAGAGAAAGAAAAAAAAAATTGTTGAATACGTAGAGAATTTAATTTTATTATGTTGAGATTTTTTTTCCAGTGGAAATTTGTTGAAGACGTAGACAATTTAATTTTTTTCTATTGAGATTTTTACAAAAGAAAAGAAAATTCAATTATGTTGAGAATTTAATTTTATTCTGTTGAGATTTTTACGTAAAAGAAAATTCAATTATGTTGAGGTTTTTCTTTTTTCACGTGCTCCTATTTATTAGGAGAATATTTGATAACTATTTATTTGGGATGTATTTTTACTTCCCGAAGGATAAGTTATCAAAATAGAACTCTATTTTAATAACTCCATTGGAAGAGAGAGTTTTTAAAATTGGGAAATCAAATGGAGGTTAAGGGATTTGATAACCCATTTAATAACCCTCTTGGAGTTGCTCTAATCTTGGAAATTCGTATGTATTTAGGAATACTTTTAGGATGTCTAGTACTTTATTAACAAAGTTTACTTCAACAATTTGAATTTTTTGTTTTAAGATTGCATTTCATATATTCTTTCTTAGAACTTGATTAGGCTATTAACTAATACACCCTTGACATATATATATATATATATATATATATATATATATATATATATATATATATATATATATATATTTGTAAAATACTATACTTATAAAGTAAAATAATATTCATGGATGTTTGCATTTATGGTGGACTTTGAATACGATCCAAATTGTTGACAATTGTAACCATTGTTTAATACTAAATGAGGTAATGATGAATGGTTATGTTCATTGTACATTTGAAATAAATAAAATATGTTAGACATTTAATATACATTTATGATGTGTGTTAATTCAAAAAAAATTAAATAAATACTCCACGCATTAATAAATGTGGATGGACAAATGAATTATTAAAGAATATAAAAAATATAAGATATTTGGTAATGAAAACCAGAACATGTGGAGTGCAAACTGCCATTTTTCTTAGTTTAGCTGACGATTTATTATTTAATTTATTTATGCATCTTCATAAACTGAGTAAATATGTATATTATGTAATTACTCTACTTCTCTTTTCCATTTTTTTTTTCTATTGTAACA